TTTTAAATGAAAAAAGGACCTAACATTTCTCAAAAGAAGACTTACAAATTGACAACAGATAGATGAAAATAATGCTCAACATCACTAATCATCAGGAAAATGCAAACTAAAAAAACAAAGAGATAGTACCTTACACCTGTAAGAATGTCTGTTATCAAAAAGACAAAAGATAACAAGTGCTGACAAGGACATGGAGGAAAGAGAACCCTTGTACAATGTTGGTAGGACTGTAAATTACTACAGCTACAAGGAAAACCACATGAAGGTTCTATAAAAAACTAAAAATAGAATTACCATATAATCCAGCATCCCACTAGTAGATATATATCCAAAGGAAATGAAATCAGCATATTGAAGGGGTATCTGCACTCTCATGTTCACTGCAGCATTATTCACAATAGCCACGATGTAGAATCAACCTAAGTGTCCAACAATGTGTGAATGGATAAAGAAAATGTGGTATCTGTCAATCTAAAGTTATACCTTTCTCAGTTACAGACCTGTAGATATACAGATAGAAATAATCAATTGGCTATTATTCAGACTTAAAAAAGAAAATCCTATCATTTGTGACAATATGGATGAACTTAGAAGACATTATGCTAAGCAAACTAAACCAGGCACAGAAAGACAAGACATGTTATCACTTATACAGGAGTCTAAAATAATCTAAAATAATCACATTTATATAAGCAGAATAGAATGGTGTTTACCAGAGGCCAAGGGACTAGGGGAATAGGGAGATGTTGATCAAAGGGTACAAAGTTTAAGTTCAACAGGAGAAATATCTTTTTGAGATTTATTGCACAGCATGATAGCTAGAGCTAATAATAATGTATATTTCAAAATTGTAAAAAATTAATTTCAAATGTTCTCACCATAAAAAGATAAGTATTTGAAGTGACGGATATGCTCACTAGATTAATCATTTTAAATTGGATACATATATCACAACATCACTTTGTACTCCATAAATATACATAATTGTAATTTGTCAACAGCCAACAATTTGTTAAAGCTGCTAAGGTGACCCTGATTAACTGTCACAGTTAGGAGCTAGGGGTCTGGTGTGAGACCAAGCTTCCTCCCCTGTATTTAGGGCAACAGCACCCCTCACTGGGTACTCTTCAATAGTCTTTTATATGGTTTCACTGCCTCTTGATCAAATCTGCTATATTGATCTCCATGCAATTGTCAAATTCATTTTCTAAAAATCAAGCTATCCTTAAATTCTTCCTCTGCTTAAATTAGCTCTCCCTTACTGAGCAAATAAAATTGCTTACATTAGCTCTTCCTTACTGAGCAAATAAAATGCAAACTCGTTAGGATGACACCCATGACTCTGGCCATTGTTCACTTTTCTGGCCTTCTCTCACAGCAACAGTTATACCTTTCTGAATAGAGAGTCCACTTCCATGTAAGGTAGTGGGCATGTTACAGAGAGTATCAATGCACCTGCTAGGTGACAGTTAAAGTTAATTCTGACTCCATCCATGATCCTATTTGGGATAGTGAATAGGAACTGGTGGATATCAGGGGATCTGTTCTTCCAAACAGCTTCAAAACTGTTTCAAAAACCGTACCCAAATCTACTTGATTCCTAAGTTCAAATAATGAGAGTTCAGGTAGAAAGGCACACCTCTATCTGAAAAGCAATGAAGTATTAGTACTGAAATTAACACTGAATTCATGCCTTCAGAAAAGGATGATCTCTAAAGAAACCTGAATGTTCCCTATATCATTAAATAAGTTGAAAAAGTTAGTTTTAGGCATGAGATACTCTGTCTTCCCCAGAAACAAGACTAATGGGGTGGGGGATGTTTCATGTACATTCTTTTTGGCATGAGATTTGGTTTAAGTGTCATGAGTAAGAGCCAGGATAGAAGCAGAGGATGGAAGGCAGGCTTGACAGTCTTTACTCCAATAATTACCAAAGTTCTGATTTATCACTAGCTTAATAATTCTTTTCTAAGAGTGTCCCAGAGAGAGAGCAAAGGGAAGGTGGAATGCCGCATACATAGACTATTAATGAGCTTTTCCATCAACTACTTGTAAAAAAGTGTTCTCTTCTTAAGTAGCATGTACTGGCTCAAACAGTACACCTTTAAGATTCCAAGTACCAATAAAATGAAGAAGCTGGAAGGAAAAGCAAACGTGTATCTTAAGTGCTTTTTGAAGTACTAAAGGTTCAGAATGGCAGCAATCTTACTCATACTCCATCTTCTTGCAAAAAACGATCATGACTAAGTTTGAAAAGTCATCATTTCTAATCAAATACAAGGAAAGTTGTATTTTTAAACATTTACAACTTTTTCATTTCTCCATAATCCCAAATGCTACCATAGCATTATTTCAAAATCTCACATTTCACATCTAAGAATCCTAATAAATCCTCTTATTGCTAAGTATTAACTAAACCATTTTTTATTCTGTAGCTGTGGAATTTTTCCATATGAAATAACTATGGATAACCACCACTTCTCTAGCAATCAGAACCAATGAATATCAGTAAGTTTCCTTAGGCTACTCAGGATTAGGGCTAGAGCCAAGAATACACTTGAAATTCTTGGCCCTTGATCATAAGTTCAGACATTTCTAGGGTGAGCAAAGTAAAACTGGACTAAGATGGCCACAAATGATTCCTAATGGCTCTCAGAAATCAATACTACACTAAGTAGAAGGAAAAAAATTTCCTGTTACACCTCACAGGGTTTTCATAAAGCTGTATATCTCAAAACAAAATAGTTTAATCCTTTTAGACCATGGCTGGGAAAAAAATAAGAAAAAAAATTTTTAAGTGATATGCTATATGAAGAGTATTTTCAGATGAAATCTATTATCTGTAACAACCAGAACCACTATTTATGTTGGGATACTTCCGAAATAGCAGAGCACTTTCATGTATGGTATCTGGTAGCTGGTAGATGCTATTCTCACTTATGTTTTGCTAATAAGGAAACAAAAACTCACAGCTCATAAATAATGTGTGTAAGGTCACCTAGCTGGGCTACATAAATGTCAAACCTTAAATCTAGGTCTTCTCACTCCACATCCCTATACCCTCTTCTCTCCCCTCCCAAATCTTCAAATACGCATAACTTCAAATACACGTATTCTTTGCCTTCTTCCTGCCTCTCTTCCCTCATCTTCCCTGCACCATTTGCAATGCTGTTTCCACGCCTCTCTCCACTCCACATCTGATCTAATTTTACTCAGGAATTTCAATGTAGGTATACCTAATAAAAATTAAGGAGTTGATCCATGGATAAAAGTGGAAGTAGAATTCCAAATAAGTTCATATTAAAGCATTTTTAACTTCTAGGACTACATAGTTATTTATCATTGTCTACATCTATTCGGCTCTTCAGTTAGGTTATTGATTCTCTTGGATTCTAGGAGTCTCCTGGATTCTTGTATTTGGGACAAGAATTGGACAGCAAGTGACATCAAGAATTGGACAGCAAGAGATCTGCTCTTCCAAATAACTCTATTTCAAAAACTGCACCCAAATCTTGGTTCCTAAGTTCAAATAGTGAGAGTTCAGGTAGCAAGGTACACCTCTCTTTGAAAAGCAATGAAAATATTAGTATTTAAATTAATACTGACTTTATGAGAACTACTGTAAACCTTCAGAAAAGGATGACCCCTAAGGAAACTAGAATGTTCCCCGTATCATTATGTAAACTGAAAAAAGAAAAAAAAAAAACGAAGAGGAAAAGATAGACATAGTCACTATGTTTTCCCTACCACAGTGAAGCTTCTCTATGAGATGCAAAGAGCCTTGGCATTACTCAAAGGAAAAACTGTAGGGAACATTTTTAGTGAAATAAATTTGGTCTTTAGCAGTTTTGGTCTTTGCAATTGAGAAAACTGCAAACCATGAAACAGTGGATCTTTGCTGAAATCATTGTAAATCTGAATATAATTTCAACTGCTGTAGGTGCCAAGAGGTGATGCATTTCCTCCCTGAATTTGGTAGACTTGTAATTTCTTGTTCATGGGTAAGAACCAATATAAAGTAGCGATGGTGGTGAGTATGTATAGCTCAGTATCTCAAAAATAACTCAAATGTTAAATGCCAGAATACTACAACTAATAATCAGAACACATAGGTTCTAGTCTTTTATGCCATCAACTATCCATGACATTGAGGTCACATTTTTTCAACTGTAAAATGAGGCATTAGCTTCAATGATATCTAAGATCCATCTCAGCTCTAAGATGCTCTGATTGTCTGTTTTTGAAATTTTACATTTGTTCTGCTTTTAAAAGTTTAAAAAATGGTTATAAAAGCAATGCATGTTTGTTGTGATTTAAAAATAGTAGACAAATATAGGTAAGTGAAAATTACCAATGATCCTACTACCCAGAGATAACTGCTAAACCCCATGAAAGAAATGTATGGGGTATTTTATAACCTGCTTTCATTTAACATATTTTAAACTTCTTGCTATGGCACTAAATGGTCTTCTAAAACATTGACTTTTAAAATAAGTGGGCAAGGACACAAGGCAGGCATATCAGAATCACTCGGGGGTGTCCTAGCCAGTCATTCCCTGGTTTTTCTGTTCCCTGTTCTCTCTGATAGGTGCCTGGGGGCTGCAACTCTTTCATTCAAGGATCATGATGGACAGAGCCACTGTTGGCAGTAACTAGAATTTCCCTCAGGAGCACCAGGGAAGAATGAAGCCGAGGAGCACTGTCCCTCCAAAATCACTTTTAATGGCTACTAAATTGGAACAGGCCATCATTTATTGATCAGTTCCCTTCACTGGATATTTAGGCTATTTTCATCACTGTAAACATTGTAATGAATATCTGTGTAGCTCCATCTTTGTATATATTTGTAAAGAAACCCGCATATTTCCTCTTGGTTAACTAGTAATAAGGGACTGTTAAGTTGCAAAGTCTCTCATTCTATTCCAATGAAATCCTATTAAATACTATAATCTGACATAAAAAGGAAGGATGAACCTCAATTAGGAAATGTGGTTACTTACCAGCATCTTTGATCCAATTATCATAAAGACGCACAGTCCTCGATGTAAGATCACTGAAAGCCATTTTCCACAGGACTTTCTTTTAATGGGTTCTTCAGTAAAATAAAATAGAAATGAGTTATGTTCTATAAATGTAAATAAAGTCAAGCTTATAGTAATACAATATTTAAAATGCTAAAAATTTAATATGAATAGCTGGCAAAACAACAAGCTTCTACTAAGGGCAAATGCATTAGTAAATTACTTTAAAACCTGATGCAGTTGCAAACATTTTAGATTTTCCATTCTTCTAGAGACATCACTAATTTCACTGAAAAAGATGAACATTCTATGTGTAAGGTTCAAAAACAGTAAATGACTCTAAGAACTTTCCTAGGAGCAGCTCCCTTTTGTGGTGACAACATTGATCATAAATGGACTGTACTTGAAGTGGCAAAGCTAAAGCAGAAACCCAGGAGAAGAAAGTCAAGAGATACAGAAACTTTCAGAGAAGGTAAACTGAACCTAGACCTAGAGCTCATCTTTAGGCCTCATAAAGTCATCTATATGCAAATTTTTATAATTTAAGTAGAATAGAGACAAAAAGAGGGAAAGAAAGGTCTGTAAGAGCCAAGGAAAAGCTGCTTAGTTTATCTAGACAGATAGGCAAGAATAACTGGAGAAAAAAAAAATCTTCTGAAAAGAAGACCAGTGGGGAGAAACCAACCTTATTATGTATTAAAAGTTGTTATAAATCTGCAATAATTAAGACAGTGTGGCACTGGGACATGGAAAGATAAATGAATGTAATAGAACAGAATGTTCAGAAACACACTAAATACAATTGAAAATTCAGAACTATATTTCAGCAAGTAAATATTTCAGTAACTAAAATCTACCTAAGATGTGTATTTTACCATATTTTAATACCTCTAAAATCAGGGCTTACCTTATGAATGAATGGCATATCATAAAATTACTGATATTTTTGATTCAAAGCCACATGGTAGGAAGATGAAAAAGTTCTAGAGATGATGTTGGTGATGGTTGCACAACAATGTAAATGTACTTAATGCCATGGAACATCACACTTAAAAATTATTAAAGTCATAACCATTTAAATTAAAATAGACATAACAGTAAAAATAATAGGTATATTTTACCACAGTTAAAAAAAAATCGGCCAGGCACAGTGGATCATGCCTGTAATCCCAGCACGTTGGGAGACCAAGGCAGGCAGATCACCTGAGGTCAGCAGCTGGAGACCAGACTGGCCAACACGGTGAAACCCATCTCTACTAAAAATATAAAAATTAGCCAGGTGTGGTGATGGGCATCTGTAATTCCAGCTACTCAGGAGGCTGAGGCAGGAGAACAGCTTGAACCCAGGAGGCAGAGGTTGCAGTGAGCAGACTGCACCACTGCACTCCAATCAGGTCCAGCCTAGGTGACAGAGTGAGGCTTGGTTTAAAAAAAAAAAAAAAAAAATCCTCTAGGGTTGCCACAAGAAAATTTAGACTTTCCTCTAGGATTCAAAGTAAAGCCATTTTATTTACATAAGTATAAATGAAATTATATATATATATGGCATATGGTATATGATAAAGGTGCCATCTCAAATCAGTGGACACCAAATTACCAGACATTATTCACTAAATGGTGTGGTATACCTGGATAGCCATCTGAGAAAAAAAGGTTCAATCCAATTATTATATTATAAACTAAGATAAACTAAAAATCAATCAAAGATTTAAGTAAGAAAAACAGAACAATGCAATCACTAGATGACACAGTAGAGGACTTTTATAACATTGTTAGTGGGAAAGGCCCTTCTCACTAAGTCCTAAAATTCAGAAGAAATAAGAGAAGGCTAATATTACTTTTGAGGTTTGGGGACAAAAGAAAAAAAAGAGAAGGCTAACAAATTTAATCATAAATGACAAACAGAAAAAAATATGTTCAATTCGTATCATACATAAAGGCTACTCTCCATAATAGATGCAGAGTTCCTAGAAATCGATAAAAGACCTGTAAGTTAAGAGGAAATAGACAAAGTCCACAGAAAAGGAAATACAAGTAGCACTTAAACATATGAAAAGTTGCTTAACTAACCATATTTAAATAATCTGCAATATTTTTTAATCTATTGAATCCAAACATTTTTTATCAAATGGGCCAAAATCCAAACATGCATTAACTGTGTTGACAGGAATGTGGGAAACTCTCTCTTCATGCATTACTGGTAGAAGTACAAATTAGTGTAACTCTTATTGAGGACAATTTGGCATTATTGGTCAAAATTATAAATGCACACTTTTAACACAGCATTTCTACTTCTAGAAATTTATCCTGTAGAAATACATCAGAGTGGCATATATTCAAGTTTATTCATTGCAGCAGTAAGAGCAAAAGCCTGGAAATAACCCAAATGTCTACTAATAGAGAGCTGGCTAATAAATAATAATAGATTTAAAACCATGAAATATTATGCCATTGTAAATAAGAATGAAGAACCTTTCCATGTGCTGATATGGAAATATTTCTAAGATAAATCTCTATTTTAAAAAAAGCAAAGAACAGTGGCTCACATCTGTAATCCCAGCTTTGGGAGGCTGAGGTGGGCAGATCATCTGAGGTAAGGAGTTCAAGCCTGGCCAACATGGTGAAATGGTATCACTACTAAAAATATAAAAATTAGCTGGGCATGGTGGCAGGTGCCTGTAATTCCAGCTACTTGGGAGGCTGAGGTAGAAGAATTGCTTGAACCTGGGAGGCGGAGGTTGCAGTGAGCAGAGATCATGCCATTGCACTCCAGCCTGGGCAACAAGAGCAAGTCTCCAACAAAAAAGGAAAGGAAGGAAAGGAAGGAAGGGAAGGAAAGGAAGGAAGGAAGGGAAGGAAAGGAAGGAAGGGGAAACAAGCAAAGGAAGTACAGAATTTAAAAATGATAACCTTATATATAAAAGGAGAAAAGACATAGGAATACAATTTTATATTTACTCATAGTTGTATAAAGGGAACTCATAAGAGGTAGACATGGAAAAGGAAATGGGATACTAACTGGGCTGAAGGAATAGAAGAAAGATTTTATACTGTTGTTTTTTGGCTCATATGGACATTTACCTACCTAAAATAAAGAATAAAATCAGCTGTACCTTTACTGGAACATTCCTATTTAAAAATTCATACACAAATACACATGCACACAAAAAAGAAATTTGGTCTGAATTCTTTCAGAGTCCATCCCCTCCAGAAGATTTCTCCAAGTCCAGGAGAGCCTGTAGGCCTGGCCTCTGTTTTAATATACTACCTTCTCGGCAGAGTCCAGACTCAAGATTGGCTGTGGTAATGCCAGGGTCTTGCCAGTCAGCCTGGACTCTTCTTTTCCTAAAAGATCATGTCTCACCTCTGTGGCAAAAGTGTAATGTGGGGTTGGGAGCAGGGGCTCTGGGCTCACAATGACCCCACCACTTAATAGCTGTGTGGCTCCAACAAAATTACAGCTCAATTTTCTAATCTGTAAAATGGGAATGCCATTCAGTACCCGCCAACATAAAACAAACTAACTCATAAAGTTGTTTTGAGGACCATATAAAATAATATATATATTTGTAAAGTTTGTAGCACAGAATCTGATTTTTTAAAATGAGCATTCAACCAAAATCATCCATTTGTTTTAGTTTTTTGTTTTGTGTGTGGGTGTATGTTTTGTTTAGTTTTGTTTTTGTTTTTGTTTTTGTTTTTTGAGACAGGTCTGGCTCTGTCACCCAGGCTGGAGTGCACTTGCAAGATCTCAGCTCACTACAGTCTCAACTGCTCAGGCTCAAGTAATCCTCCTGCCTCAGCCTCCCAAGTAGCTGGGACTACCAGAGCATGCCATCACGCCCGGCTAATTGTTTTATTTTTTTGTAGAGATAGATTTCACCATGTTGCTCAGGCTGGTCTCGAACTCCTTGGACTCAAGCAGTTGAGCTGCCTCTGTGTCCCAGAGTACTGGGATTATAGGTATGAGTGACCACACTCAGCCAAAAGCAGCCATTTATCATTTAGAGAGAAGTTGTGCCACTTTATGGGTACATACAGACACAAAGATTAGACACTGGGGACTTCAAAATGGGGGATGAGGAAGAGGAAAAGAGAGAGGGGATGCAGTCTGTAAAACTTGCTATGGGTACTTTGTTCACTCCATGGGTGACAAGATTAATAGAAGCCCAAATCTTAGCATCACACATATACCCTTGTAAGAAACCTGCACATGTACTCCCTGAATCTAAAATACATTTTAAGTTGTGCCAATTTAATTGGAAATCATCTAGCCATCTCATTACCTGGTACAGTTAAATGGCAGTTTACAGAACAAACCTAGGAAAAACTCTGCTACTTTTATTTTTATTTATTTATTTTTTTTGAGATGAAGTTTCGCTCTTGGTACCCAGGCTGGAGTGCAATGGTGCTATCTGGGCTCACCACAACCTCCGCCTCCTGAGTTCAGGCAATTCTCCTGCCTCAGCCTCCTGAGTGGCTGGGATTACAGGCATGCGCCACCATGCTCAGCTAATTTTTTGTATTTTAGTAGAGACAGGGTTTCACCATGTTGACCAGGATGGTCTCGACCTCTTGACCTCATGATCTACCCGCCTCGGCCTCCCAAAGTGCTGGGATTATAGGCGTGAGCCACCGCGCCCAGCCTACTACTTTTATTTTAAGAGCTAGCATATAACAGATTATATGATTCTTCCCTTTGTGTCTTCCAATTCTCTAAACGTGTGTGTTTTAGACCACAAAAAAAGCTACATTTCCCCCTTACCTTAACCATTGCTATAGTGAAATAATGCTGTTTAAGTTATTTAGAATCAGAGTGAAATATTCTAGTTTTACAAGGTATGTGGCAGGGTTACATTTCAAAATATTATTCTGTTTCTGTGTGATTTTTTTTCCCCCTCTTCTTTCACTAGCTTCACATAGGCCATTTTCCCCTCCCCACCCTCACCAAAGCACAAAGACTCAAAAAAAACCACACTCTGATGCAGGTCAGAAATATTCACAGGCAGCCAAGAAAGCTGGTTTCTTCAATCCCAAAAACTACACAAGACTGAGATGAAGGAAGAGGGAA